CAATTACATACAGTAATGGCAAAGTTGTTGGTTCAGGCTTGTAGCAGCGATAGAATAAACTGCAGGTTCAAATCAAGTCTCTGGAACATCCACAGCTGGGATGGGTCCTCAGTCCTTTGTTCAGAGCTTCAGTTTGTAGCAAATTTCCTCCAGAGGTATGAAGCAGGATTGAAGACAAGATGGAGGAGATGCAGCAGCTTTTTATAGTCTCTTGCCATGTGGCCTCTGCTTTCTTTGTCCCAAAGACAATCATTCCAGCACATGGCATGGAAAAGCCTCCAAGTTCTGTCCATAGGCATGTCCCTGCCTTGCTGAGTACAAGAGTATCTGCCTTCTCTCAGTGGGTCAGTTGTAGCTGATGGTCCTTAATGGGCCATCAAGCAGGCTAGGCAGAGCTGACACCAACTTGTCTGGGATGTCACCCAGAAGCACAGCACAAGTTTGAACTACAGACAGTCTAGAGCCAATACTTATAACTTTAAATACAAAAATGATACACGCACACAGATTGCATAATCATAACCAGAAAACCAGAACCTCCTCATAGGCACCGTACTTGATCTCCTTTGGACAAGATTTGGGGCCACTACAGGACCTTGGTTGCAACAATGATCTATACGGTCCCAGTTTGTGTCAATAACATAACAGCTGGCACCCAGCAAGCAGGGGGAGGCTGGCACCCAGTAGGGGCCCGTGGGCAGGCTGGCACCCGGCGGGCAGGGGGAGGCTGGCGCCTGGAGGGCAGGGGCAGGCGGGGGCCCAGCGGGCAGGGGGAGGCGGGGACAGGCATGGGGAGGCTGGCACCCAGTGGATGGCTGGCGCCCAGGGGCCAGGGGCAGGCGGGGGCCCAGCGGGAGGCAGGGGGAGGCTGGTGCCCAGCGGGCAGGGGGAGGCGGGGTCAGCCGGGGGCCCAGCGGGCAGGGGGAGGCGGGGTCAGGCTGGTGCCCAGCAGGCAGGGGGAGGCGGGGTCAGGCGGGGCCCCAGCGGGCAGGGGGAGGCGGGGTCAGGCGGGGGGCCCGGCAGGCAGGGGGGGGTTGGCGGCTGGGGGGCAGGTGGGGGCCCAGCGGGAGGCGGGGGGAGGCTGGTGCCCAGCGGGCAGGGGGAGGCGGGGTCAGCCAGGGGCCCAGCGGGCAGGCCCTGGTGACACCATGCCCCGCGCAGGTCCCTTCGTGGCCATGCTGCTGGCGAAGCTGGAGAACATGGTGCAGAACTCGCTGTACGTCAACGTGCTGCTGACGGGGCTGGTGGCGCGACTTGCCTGCTACCCACAGCCCCTGCTCCGCTCTTTCCTGCTCAACACCAACATGGTCTTCCAGCCCAGCGTCAAGTCCCTGCTGCAGGTACCGCCTAGGCACGGCCCCTGCCAGCTCTCGGGGTCCTGGGGTCCCTCCTGGGCCTCGCAGCTTGGTGGCAGGGAAGTGACCTGTGGGCGGGGGGCACCCAGATTGCTGGGGGGTCGCAGGGCTTGGGGCTGAGCCAGTGGGGAGCCCCTGCCCAGGGCTGCAGGTTCTGGGGTCCCCGTATGCTGCCCCTTGGCATCCCCGCAGCCTAGCCTGGCGCAAGCTGTCGCTGGGGTCCCCTGCCTGGGCACTGAGCCGCTTTCCTTGCAGGTCCTGGGCTCGGTGAAGAACAAGATCGAGAGCTTCGCCGCCAGACAGGACGACTTCCCCGCCCTGCTCTTCAAAGCCCGCAAGTACCTGCTCGCCCGCGGCCAGCTGGACTGGGCCGACGCCCCCAACGCCGCGCCGGCCCTGCGCCGCTCGGAGACGCTGGGTAGGGCCGGGGCACGGGGGGGAGGCAGGCGGGGGGCTGCCACCTGCTTTGGGCCTGCCTGGCGCCACGCTCGGGCTGTATGTAGCAGGGCTGCCAAGCTCACCCTGCCCCCGGCCGCTGAGCCAGCCCACCTCTGTGGGCACAGGGTTCCCTGGTGTGACCGTTCTCCCGGCCCGGCGCCCTCGCCCAGCTCCCCCGGCCCGGCTTGCCTGGCTCCCTCAGCCCGGCTTCCCCGGCCCGGCGCCCTCGTCCGGCTTCCCCGGCCCGGCTTGCCTGGCTCCCCCAGCCCGGCTTCCCCGGCCCGGCTCCCCCAGT